GATCCCAGGACCCTGGGATCATGACCTGAGCCGAAGGCAGATGCTCAACGACTGAGCCACCCAGGGGCCCCAGCCCCCATTATTAGTTTTGGTACTAATATCATAGTCTCATAGATACTGAGAACTGTGTAATCAGTGATATCTTTCTCTTTGTACTGGCTACTCCAGAGCTTAAAATGAACTTGTGGCTAACTTCCAGTAAATGAGGCTAGTGACATATTACTTGGCAGTGATGGTGGAGTCCTAGGCCTATTCCTAGTATAATCTTCTATCCTTTTTTCCTTTGCTTTACTTCCCTTGCTTTTGAACTTTTACTTTCCTTTGATTTTGTCCTGGAGCAAGCCATGAAGTCATCAGTCTTGTACAGAAATCATCATTGTTGTCAGTTACCTGAGTATTTGACATCCATGGACACACTTCCTTTTGCACAATACCTCACTCTTCATCCAGCACATGTTGTGTGGTGTATTCAAATTTGCTAAGGAAAAGTCTTTCCCAATGTCTGATGAGGGCACATGCACATGTGTGTTAGTGTGTACTTGTATGTGTGTGTGGGAGAGGGAGGGGGGGCAGGAGGGAGAGAAAGAATATGAATGATGAAGACAGACCATCCCACCTGGCTTGCATCACCTTTCCTCCATCTTGTGCATGACTTTTGGTTTAGTACTGATTCCTCTCCACAGAGGAGAAATCATTTAATTTGATTTGATGGGGGAATATAGTCCAGTCATGAGCTGTTGGGCAGCAGTCCAAGTAAGACAACTCGGGAGAAACCTTGGCCAGTGTATTGCTGACCACATCCCCGTATGTTCCTGTACAAAAGCTGTGTTATTCTGAAAATCAAGGAGGCTTATTTTTGGAAATGCTTCATTTTATTGCATTTTAGGAGACTTGGCTTCCTTGTCACATTCTTCATTGGCCCCAAAGCATTTACTTAAGAAACCTCGCAGCCCTCTGTTCTTTGCTCCTACAATGGCTCCATAGAGGAGCCCACAGGAGTGTGTCTGCCTCAGTGCTCACGGCTCTTCACCTTGTGACACACACTTTAAAATTTTTCAATTACATATTCCAACTGTTTGTAATGAAATGAACCCATGAGGGTAATTGTCGTAAGAAGGATTTAAGAACTAATAATAACTGATACTGGTTGAACATGGCTGACACCGTCATACACTAACTTTACATTTGTTATCTAACTGAATCGTCAGAAACACTATGTGAGGTATGTTTTATCTCCATTTTATAGCTGGAGAAACCAGGATTCAGAGAGCCAAAGCTGTTTGTCTACAGTCACAAAGTTAGCAGTGGAAGAATGGGGATGTGCCAAATGTTGGACCCTGTTCACTTCGCTACTACACGAAGCTGCCTTGCAAACCAAAGTTTAATTATTCTCTCTTTAATTGGTTATTTTAATCCAGATGTAAACACGTTAATTTCATCTCATTTTAGCTCAGTAAACCACCTTTGCTATTTTTAGGGTCTCACATCTGTTGGATGAAGGCCATTGATGGCTTTGAAAATTGGTGTGCAGGGGGATATATCTTTAGGCGATGGGAAATTCATAGTCTATCCCATTTTCCAGTGGTTTGATAATCATACATGGGTCCAGAAAGAACCGTATCATACGTTTTATGTTTCCTTTCAAGTGGTAAAAACAGCTTTATATAATGGGAAATTATATCCTTATACCAGCATTGTATTAGCCTTTGGGGTTTCCTGTCAGCCATGCATGCTTTTGCATTTATGTTTGGTTATATCTTCAGTGCCAATGGCTGTTTTGTAAACCAGATCTCTAACCAGCATTGAGTTGTGCTGTGGTCGCCTATAGCTATTTTTCACTGTTTAGGATTGCACTGTAGGACTTTCATCAAAGTGCTATGTTTCCATTGAAGGGGGCCCTTTTCTGTCAAAATTCATGGTGGTTTCTTTCTGTCTGAATATTATTAGTGCTATTGCGCCTATCTTCCAGTACTGAAGCTATTTTCTACATCAGAATTAGGGTTTGCAACCAAGGGAAAATAGTTCCTATAGATGTTTGCATAGTCTTCTAACATTTCTCACCGAAATTGGAAAGTTATTAGAATTATGTGCTTTTAAACAAATCCACTTTGTTTCTGAACTTGTTAAAGCTGAGTAGGAGGGAAGTATAAATTACCAGTTGTTGGCAAGGTGAAATATTGCGTTAGTGCTGTATCTTTATAATGAGTTTCTGTTCTCAGTGGAATGTTTAATTGACCAGTTCTGTTAAAGTGTCAGAGAAGACTGTGTCCAGGGTCACTAATTTCACCATCATGCCTGGAGCTAACAACTAAAACAGAGCTAGAAAGCTGGGAGAGACCTTCTGAAATGGTCTGAGTTCCCTTAACTCTGTCCTGTTTGACATTTTTATATCAGCAGTTTGGAGGCAGATATAGAATGTATGCTTATCAAATTGGCAGATAACCCAAGTCTAGGTAGGATAACTAACACCTGAATGATAAAAACGGGATTCCGAAAGCTCTCAGCAGGCTGGAGTAATGCGTGGCAAATAATAAGATGGGGTTTAGTAAGGATCCATGTACAGCCCTGAGTTCAAATTCAGAAAGTCACTTTCCTTATTACAAGAGAGGGGAAACGGCCCAATGTCAGTGGTCTGAAAAAGACGTATGGGACGTCAGGCTCACAGAAGCTCAGAATGGACTACCAGTCTCCCATGAAATAGACTGAGGTCCAGAGAAGTCACCAATTGAATTCTGGCTCCAGCCATTATCACAGAGGCTATCCAGAGAACACCCACCAGGGCAGTGAAAATCAGAAAACCTTCCAGTAGGAGGAATTGGGGGCAGCAAAACATGTTTTGCCTGGAAAATGGAAGACTTAGATCATGACAGCTCTTTTAAATAATCAGCTTTCCTGTGTGAGAGCTGAGATTTTTTTGTACTGTTTCTTCATAGGGTAGAGCTAAGATAAATGAGTATACATTTGAAGAAGCAGAGTTTGGGCCTTTTTAAAGGGGGAATTGTCTACTAGGTAGAGATGCGTTTCTAAATTTTCTGAATGCCTCACCTGTTCAAAGCTGTCTAGCTGTCTAGAAGGTTGTAGAGTTTATGTAAGCATTTGGATGGAAGTTGGCCCAGGTGACCTCTAACATCTGTCTTTACCTCTGAGTTTGAACAATTGCTATTTTATTTTTCTTCTTGCTGCCAGGGCATACACTGCAGACATAGTGCAATAATATTCTTATTTTTGTGTTTTCTTGACCAGAACCCTTAATTCTCATCATTGGAAAGTAATTATAATTAATAGTTTTAATTAATATAAGTAATAGCATTATATAATGGATATCAGAATTTTCATAATAATTAATATGATCAACATAATCACTCCCTTTCACAATGTGAAACACTGGTGAAAAGATTTGATACTATAATAATTCAAAGTAACAGGAGACATTTAAGAGGATGTGGGTGGGACTTAAAATCATCAATGTGCCCCAAAATGCTGAAACAGCTGAATTGCTTTGTAAAACTGCATCTTCTTTTATTCTTTGTTTCTTTAAGTAGCTTCATTTCTAGCACCAAAATTAAGCAGATGTTTTACCACATGTTTAGTTTTGAATTTATTCTTGCCTTTAAAAATTGTGTGGACTATAAGCAAATTCATAATCTCTTTTAATGTTAAGACCTCAAATCTCCAAAGTATTAAAGTGAAACCTGTTTTTATCTTAGATTTAGAATAATTCTTAGAAAAAATATTTTGCAAGCTAAGTTCATGGTCTCTACTACATTTTTCCCCCTGACATTGTGCCAGTGTTATGGTGAAAGCATTTCCCTCTTAATTTTTTGGACACATTATTATGTTTTTCTATTCAAAACATGTTGAGTACCTAGGGCAAGCCTATTAAAGTTTTGAACACAAGATCAGTGATTCCAAATTCCTGCAAATCTGGAAAATAAGAATTATAAATTTGCGGGGCGCCTGGGTGGCTCAGTCGTGAAGTGTCTGCCTTCGGCTCAGGTCATGATTCCAGGGTCCTGGGATCGAGTCCCGCATTGGGCTCCCTGCTCCTTGGGAGACTGCTTCTCCCTCTCCCACTCCCCCTGCTTGTGTTCCCCTCTCTTGCTGTGTCTTTCTCTGTCAAATAAATAAAATCTTTAAAAAAAAAAAAAAGAATTATAAATTTGCTTAGGTCTACTTTCATTTGGATTATACACACATTGGATTCTTTTGAGGAACAGTATAGTATAGCAGTATGCAAGGCATGGTTAAGACTCAGGTTGGTTAGCACTTAGCATTTAGGGTACAATAGGGCCAAGATCCATAGTACATGGACACAAAGGTCAAATCAAATTTAGTGTGGTATTGAGTAGGTTTACAGTTACCTGTAATCATCATAGCTTATTCCAGAGGTCTAGTCATTGCTTACATTACTTTTCATTCTTTTACATTTTAGGTGGTTGCCTTTTTGATGAGCCATATAGCACCTGTGGTTATAGTCAAGCTGAAGATGATGACTTCCACTGGGAGCAGGTGAACACCTTGACCAAACCAACTTCTGATCCATGGATGCCATCAGGTTTGCATGTAGTTTTAAATTTTCTTTTTAAAATCAAAGTTTCATAAGAGTCTGAATCACAGTAAATATTCATTGGGCATTGGCTGAATGAGTGAGGGTGTTGGTCTTTCGGCAGCCCAAAGTGATTAACTAGTGAGAATAGTACAATTAAGAGGACCGGATATAAAGTACAGAGAGTTCACCTTTGTATCTCTTCTTTTACAGTCTAATTAAATTTTACCGCCTTAGCTCTGGGTACACCTGAGCTAGATTACTGGGCATTCCCCAGTTGATCCTTTCCCAAGCAGCAGATATGGGAAATGGATGTCTCTTCTGCCAAATGTGTCTAGTGAACGGAACTGTAGCTGGGAAATCCAAATAACAAAGTCTCTGTCACAAATGGGAGACCTTGGAGAATAACTTAAACCTTGTCAGCCTCAGGAGCTCACTTGGCACCAAAGATAAAATGGTGATGCACACATGTGGATACTTTTTTTTCTGGAGAAGTGCTTAGTAAATTTTCCGATGAGTGAAAGACATTTGTTCCATTAAACATCAGCAAGAATTCAACTTCTTATTTTGAAGGAAGAGTGGGAAGGTGTTGATGAGTAAACATTAATCACATTGGAACTTGGTCATTTTAATGGACACCCTTTGCAGGTGGTGGTGTTGGACAGCAGTCTAAGAATTTAGATTTGCTGATTCATGTTACAACGGGGTTAAGAATGTGCCCTAGTCAGGATTCACACTGCAAAACATTCTGATTTGGATTTTAGATAAAACACGTTTATTTGTACTTTTTTGTAACTGTAAAGTTCTTCGTTAATACACGCAAATGTAGCAATAATTGCATTTAGTAAGTCATCCCTTTTAAGTAGGAAGTAGAGTTTAATGTCGTTCTTCACTAAGCTTTAACAGTTATGATGCCCACCATGTTCTTTCCCTCTCCTTCCCATATTTATCTCCTTACAACCTCGAAGAAGGGAAGACTGTGCTCTTTGGCACTGCAGCTTTGCTGGGCTTCAGACGTTTCTAGCTGTTAGTTATTTCCCCTCAGCCGACATTCTCCTTTTCTGTCTCCTTTTTTTTCATATATGTGTGTGCCTTTGAATATGACTTGTGCTTGCATCTGTGGTACTTCAGTTGTTTTTACGAACCCCAGCTCTTGCTTTCATGCTTGTCAGTGAGCAGGGAGCAGGAAGGGGAGCATGGCCGGGCTCCTGACGCGGAGCTGTCCTTCCCCAAATAGGCTCCTCACCCCAGAAGGCCTTCTGGGCATCACCTGTTCTCTCTTGAGGATCCAGCCTGTGTCCAGAAAGGCTGGGGATGGTCGCAGCCATGATAGTGGGGAGGGTGCTCAGAGTTAGTCCTGGGACAGTTCTCCACAAGAGTGCACTCAGGCTTTTCTTATCTTCTAATTTGGTGTAAAAAAAAAAAAAGTAATTTCTCGCATTAGCTAGTAGATTTAATTATTGTGGTCCTTTAGTTTGAAGACTGTCTTGGAAAAACTGTCTTTGACAAAGGAGCCCCAATACTGCAGTATCTTTTTCAGCCTTCACTGGTTCTATTTTTGTCACATGATGACTTACCTCCCAGAGGTATCATTTCTTGACACCGTCTTGTCCTTTCCTTCTTTCTGATTTCCCAAAATAGCATCTCAGACCAAATTGTCCAAGTTCTAGATATAGAAAGGATGGGTTCCTAGCAGAGGCCATTACAAAAATGGTAATAATGATCAAAGACTAGTTGTATCCTGGAACAATCAGTTGGGTAAATGAAAAACAAAGGGGAAGTAACTGTGCAAGCATCTGGCCTTTGAAGGCTCTTCTGCCTTTGAAAGAATGAAGTGGGGGCATTTAAACATTTTGTTTGAATTTACTCTACTTCTGTTGACTAATGGAATACTTGGTGATTAATATCAGGCCTTTGTAACTTCAGGTCTCTGAATGTTTTATCTTCCAACACGTTTCTCAGTTCCATCTGATAGTTACAAAAGGTGTGCCCTCAACCCTGGCCCTCAAATAGGGTGCAGGTCACTGTGGGGGTATGTGGGTTGTGGGGTGTCAGCAGGTCTGGAGGGAGCTGGGGCAAGACTAGCAGTCTGGTTCCTCTTTCCTCCAACGATGTCAGCAGGCATTGGTCCAGATGAGATTTCCGAAAATTGGTAGTTTCTCCATCAGACTAAATTTCTGCCATAACATAGAAGTGCCAATAATATGGTATTTTTTCCTCTTATTCATTAAACAAACTTTAGCCATTAAAAAAATTCCTTTGAGCCCTACTCTGTGCTAATCACAATGCTGATTACTGGGATGGGGGGTGAAAGTTTATAAGAAATGAATCTTTCTCTGTAGGAACTTACATACTTGGGGAAGAGAGTTACAAAAATACAATTAGTGAACAATCTAAGTCCTATATTATTGTCTCACAGACCGGCAGTGCCCTAAGAGCAACAGCTCCTGTGTTATTAAGGGTATGGACTGGTGCTCAGCTGACCTGTCCACCTACAGTGAGAAGTTAAATTCTCAGTGAAATTAGGAAATATCGTCTTAGAAACTTGGCATATCGTATCCTATGGTATGGATTTTAAAACAGAGTTTCCAATGTGTATAGACAATATAGCCATGAGTTGCTTTAAGTACTCTTTAGTTACAAGGGATTTCTCCTCCTCCTCCTCCTTTTGCATTAATATGTATAACATGATTTATTTATTTCAAAAACAAATTCCAAAGCTGGCCCTCTTGAGCTAAAACAGAAACCAGTTTTATGAATTGGTCAGGGTAAATGGGTGGCAAAATCAGATACAACGTTTCCCGAGGGCTAATTTCCTTAAGCCTTTATTTACAATATGGTTGGATTTGTTCTCACATGTATATTTGTATGTGTTCTCTCCTGTGTAGGATGGTTCTGTGATGCCTTAGACCAAGGGTTGGCATACTATGTCCGACAGGCCAAATCCAGCCTATTGCCAGTTTTTTGGATAGCTCAGAAGCTAAGAATGGTTTTTATGTTTTTATGTTTAAAGATTTTGTTTATTTGAGAGAGAGAGAGAAAGTGCAAGCGGGGAAGAGAGGGAGAAGTAGGCTCCCCGCTGAGCCGGGAGCCCAATGGCAGGGGTCGATCCCAGGAGCCTGGGATCCTGACCTGAGCCGAAGGCAGTCGCTTAACGGACTGAGCTACCCAGGCGCCCCAGTTTTTATGTTTTTAAATGGTTGAAAAAAATCTAAATAATAATAATGTTTTGTGACACGTGAAATTCAAATTTCATTGTCCATAAACAAAGTTTTACTGGCATGGAGCCTTGGGCATTTGTTAAACATCGTCTGTGATTGGTTTCAAGCCACAGTGGCAGGGCTGAGAACAGACACCACAACGGATACCGTAGGGTTCACTAAGCCTAGATATTTACTGTCTGGTCCTTTATGGAAAAATTTTGCTGACCCCTGTCTTAGACCATTTTTGCATCAGCCTGTGATAGTTGCTTTGGACTCCGTTTATATTGTTATTGCTTCTGTATTCATATTATAATTATTAATACCCAAATACTATTTCATATTTTCTTTTACTTTCAGATGATATATTTTCCAAACATTAGGCGATTAAAATCATAAGAAAAAAACATAATTAGGAATTTTCTCTATTAAAAAGCATTGTGATTTTTCCTTATTGTGTAATACCATCATCCTTGTGGGACTCTTGTGATTCTAATAAGCAAGTGATCCATCAATATGATTTTTAAAATTATGACAGTGAAAGACTGAAATTTTCACTCTAAATTTGCTCTAATTAAAATTTATTTTCTTTTTCTGGGTCTTTTTTTGAGATTGATGTTTTACTGTGTATATGGTTTGTTTCTCTGTATCTTCATGTGTAAGGTTATTTTTAGCCACATTTAAAAAATTTAAATACAGTCTGGAGCTTTATATAAGCCAACTTGATAACTACTCTAAGGCTGTGACATTGGCTCTGGAAATACATGTTTAGGGCAAATAAAGCCAAATACCATTTAAATTTTTGTATTTGAAGTTGACGTTTATGTTACAGATTAGACTTTTGCAGCTAGTGCTGAACCAGTTTGTCTAATGGTAAAACTATGCCACACATGGTTTCTCAGGTGTGTGGTTCATTTCCTATCAATTATCTCCATTAGCAATGGGGAATTTTCTTAAATTTTATCATAAGTTTACTTTGATAGTTTACTACTATCAAAGTTTACTACTTTGAGCGCAAGAACCCTTGATTAAGTAACCAAATAATAACCTGGTACATTTTGTTAGCACTGTTGTGTACTTTCTGTACCAGTACATTGTGTAATTATCAGAGTAGATTAAGAAGTATTGGGTAAGAAGTGTTTTATCATGTAAAAATACCTGCACAGTTTGACAGCTGTTTTTATATTTTTATATTTCATTAAAGGATATTGTTTTTACCTTCATGCTCGAGTTCTATAAAATGGATATTTAACAAGTTCCCTGTCTGGTGTATAAGAAAATGCAACTTTATCTTATACAAAAAATTAAAATAATAAACAATAAATAAATAAATAAACCTGTCCATAATATTAAAAATGTAAACATAGCTTATAACCGTAGCCATTTAATAACTCATAATATTGACATTTGTCTATACCTGACATGGTCCCCTTAAGAAATCATACCTCCAGCAGAGCTGTAATTAAGTGAATTTGGTTCCCAGTGCTAGGAAAACTTAACAGGAGGTGTAGCATGTCACTAGGGAAAGCTCATGTAGCCTTCTACACTTACTTTATATGTTGCAAACTGGGAACGATGGTGTTTCTGATCTTCACTGAGATGCTATGACTAAGGATTGAGTCATTTCTGTGGGTGCCCCTATGAAAGGCAGAGAGAAGGAAGTGTTGGATGGAGGGGCAATATGCACTTTGAGTGTGATGACCCAGAAAATAGAAAAAAAAGACCGCATCTATTTATGTAGGGTCAGTTTCACATTTGGGAAAGATGATGGATTGGCAGACAAAGGAATTGGAATTTCCTCTTTGGGTG